TCGCTCCACAACATGGCTTCCTCGGAGGTAACGTAAAATGTCGCTCTTTTCTTTACCACACCTCAGTTCTTCTTCATTCACCATATTCTACTGTCACGAGTGAATGATTTCAGTACTCATGATGCCGAGTGCTCAATCGACAATCGCTTAAAGAGCTAAAATTGTTTTATTGTGGACGAACAGGAACTTGTAATCTGCAATGGAGCAGTCAGATCTAGAGGTCATTCCTTTGGCTAGTTAAGATTTAATGGATGTCGAGAGAAAATTACTTTGGCTGGCTCTTTGGAATTTATCCTAGTTCGCAGTAGTTAATCGGAATGTGGTATCAGCATATCGTGCCGGTTTCCAAATAAGTTCATTTTCTCTTTTAGTTCGGTTCTCCCAATAGCCTTTCCATGCTACTTTCTCTTTGTAGATCTTCTCGCTATGGGCCGTAAGCTTTAGGCGCTACGGGGGTTTATACTACAGTTTCTTTCCATCTTTGGTATATACTACAGTTTCTTTCTTATATTTCAAGACTTCGTTCAGGAAAACAACGAGGTAGTCACTGAAACTGCAACTCAAACTAAACTTCGAGATGTGGTGGTCTGTATTCATTGATATGCGTTCTGCCCATTCGAAACTTAGAAGTATGCCGGTTTATTATCATTTAACGTATCTCTATACTCATTCAATATATTTGCCGGGGATCGCTTAGTACCAAATTTTCCTGCTGGGTGCCGGCCTTCTCGTCTTCCATATGTGTTTATACCCATGCGTGGACAGACTTCTCGGCCCCGTTTTGGTAGCTCACATTTGTGGGGTATGTTTTTCGACAACTCGTAACTTGAACTCAATCACGAGCGTGTGAAAAATATATTTTCTGGATACTATATCTCCAGCTAAACACGATCTATCTGATGAAAAGACAATAATCCCTCGTGCTTCCTTCGCACAAATGCTTGAGTGCAGGTCTTATCGATAGCCCTCTTGTCAAGCTATCCATTTATAGCCATGCTGACCGGGCTAAGTCTCTCCACAGTGTTGAATTGCGCATCACTCGTGAAGAATGTTCTATCTGTGAGTATGCCTTACACTCTGAGCTTATGTATGAAGCTAATATGCACGTAAATGATTAGAATTACTGTTTCTGTATGGGAAGGAACAAGCAGAACCTTTGTTCATACCAAATTCTAACTGTCGAATTTTGCATGTCGACGTCTTTCTGTCTACACCGGCTTGTTTCATTCTGCAAAAGAAAGCCTTGGTAAGCTTCAAATGATCATCTTCGACGAGTCTGACCTTTATTAATATCCTCGAATACGTGGCTTACATCCGAATTTGAAATTGCAGGATTAAGATAAGAGAGAAGCTGCTAATGGAATCGTGATAATTGTCATGTCTCGATGTTCGAATATGAAACCGAAGAATGAATTTCAGTGAAAGATATTCTGTTGATGATCCAATTTCGGCGAAACATCTTTTTGACATGCCCGGTAGGATGTCTTGTGGTTTGATTTGAGGATTAATAATGGCGAGAAAGGAATCATCCATATTCTGACAATGTTGCGGGTAACAATCCCAATGGCAGTGATCAGGCTGCGCACTCCGAATCTTCAGCAGTTAACCGAGCGGTAGAAGAAGGCCAACATGATGGGGCAAACATTCTCCAACGCCTCACAAACGAACAATCAAGAGAAGTTGCACCAAACCCCTGTATGTTGGTCAAGATTGTTCGAAGAGCAGCGGATCATTAATCAACCATCACTATTCAATCTAGTGGTAACAGGGTGCACCCCTAATCCCTCTTCATTTACTAATGTCAATAATGTTAGTCAGAGTAGTCAACCCCCTATAAGAATTATGCAAAGGCCTTAATCTTCTAATCAATTTCATAATGATGAGAATAATCAGGCTGATGTTGGTCAAAAGAACCAAATTGGCAACAATAATTTGGTAAATCAAACTGGCCAACAAGCCGATCAATTGCTAAATGTTGAAGATATAAGGCCAGTTCCACCCAGTGTGAATAATCCTATTAGGCCTAACATGCTGATTAATGTTGATAATCTAACAAGACCAGCGTTATCGCTCACAGGTAAAATGACCAACCAAATCCACAATTGAACCTAGCACAGTTTGTTAAAGAAATTTGACAACGATTAGGGTTAGACAGAGGTATTATCATACCCGTTTGTAGAAAAATCACATCCTGAATGGGTCGATAATTAGCGTTTTTCAAGAGGCTTTGAAATCCCTGAATTTGCCATTTTTATAGGCATACATGAACAATCGACTATTGAATACATCGGTCGATTTATAGCCTAGTGCGGAGAAGCATGGACAAATGGGTTTTTAAGACATAGGTTATTTCCTTTGTTTTTGTCGAAAATCGCTTTTACCTAGTACATTGATTTATCTCCTAATTTAGTGTGTAATTGGGTAGAGATGAAGATAAAATTCCCTTCTCAATTTTATAGAACAATACCTAAGGTAACAATTGCTATATGGCTACATTCGATCAATACAATATAGTCGGTCGACTAGTTTGTTGCTTAATTTGAAAAGGCTAAAAATAAATGCCTTGCTTCACTCTTAGAGAAAGAATTCGCAAATATGGCTTTCAATGATTGAAATTCTATCTCAATGAAAAATTTGAAGGCCAAAACTTTGCCAATTTATTTCAGTTGGCAACTCAAGTGTCTAAATATGAGCAATTACTTAAGGACGAAGATTGAGTACCACATTAAGACTTTACACAAAATGTGACTTTTTGTGGAAAAACATGTCAGATGATGAATCTAAGCAAGATAAAATTGCCAATGACAAGGGAGCACATGATGACTCCTGATTATCTAATTTAAAAGAATCTAATGATTCATACATTCAATTCTTTTAAAGGGGGCATATGTTAACACCCAAAAATGACCAACTTTTGGTTATTATCAACAAGTATCAGACTTAATCGATAAGAGCATAATGTGATCAATAATGAACAGAACAATCGACAATTTGAAGGGAATTTAACTCGCTAAGGAAGTCATCGACAACATCAATTATTGATGAGAGCATTTATCAAGACTTGAGAAGTTGATAGACAAAGTTACCAACAACGAGCAATCAACATGAAGGCGTAACTACTGCGTAGTTATGTTTTGTTGTCACTAATTTAAGGATTTTATAACTTCTTGTGGATATTTGTTCTAGATAATAAGAATTAGTGGATAACACAACTTCTTGTAATTGCCATTAGAAAGTTGTTTGTTATTTGAATTCTAAAATTGTAACTGCCATATGAAACCATCAATCGTGAGCTATAATAAGCCACATCATACTCTTATTAAAAAGTCCCATAAATCAATTAAAGAACTCAACGTTCTCGCAAATTTATCTTTATCTTTACTTTTTTGCAATTTATCTTTTCTATAATTTAAATATCTTTCAATTCCCGTACTTTAGTCGTAGTTTCAGATATCTCATCCTTAATTAAATTTCGGCGTGTATTTTAGTTAAACTTTTCATATCTTCGTCGTCAATTAAATTCCAATGTTGCATCTTTGCCTTCGCAATTTATCATCAATTAAATTCCGGCAAAGCTTTTTATGTCATCGGGCTTCATCGTTGATTAAATTCCGTTGAAGCATATTTGTTTCCTATATTCCATTGATACAACTCATGTCTAGAATCGCCTCAAAATCCATCTTCACTTGATAAAAATTGAAAAATGAATTTCAATGAAAGATATTTTGTTGACAATCTAATTTTGACCGGACAAGAATCATAGTTTTCAATCATGTATTGTTGCCACAATAATTTTGGAACTCTTTTTTCGTCCTTTTTCATGTGAATGAACATAAAAAACGACGGATGAATTGACTTATATGATACCCCATGCATAAATTCAAGAGCCGTGCCGTAGATCGCATCCATTCTCTCCCGAAATTCCAAATGGACCATATTTCATTTCTCTTTCTTTCCAAGTTTCTGTCGTTTAGGGAATGAATGTCTGTGACCTTGTACAGTTGTACTAGTCGTCATGTCCCTGTTGCTGTCCAGTCTTTTAAAAATTGTTATTTTGTAGGCTGTCTACGAAAATTTTTCTTTATTAAACTCGAATGACACTATCGTCAAAACTAGTTTCATATGCCACTTGTAAGCATGTTTTTTCAAAAATCACTATTCAAGACAGGTCAGTTTTATTTGAAATATTTTGTCGAGCATCGTCCTCCATTCGAATAAGAAAAAAAAATTCAAATCTTTATGTATTAAATGTTTCCGTAAAATATATTATTGATATCTCTGAATAATTTATTTCTTCGGGAGATTTGAGAGTTCTATTTGCAGTTTGCTTTTTCGGGGATTTTGGACGGATTCCTAGTTATTTGACTGCAAATGATGGCGTCTTCCAGGTTAGCCTGTTCTATGGGCAAACGGCTAGTGTTATTTGCACCTATTCCGTAAATAAAGCAATCCTCGTCATCATCTTTGTTTCCTCTTTGTCACATCGCCGTCACCTTTTATTATTCCAATATTCAGCTTCACAACGGCGGAGTGTCCTTGTTGTTGGATGCGCATTTCAATAGGGACCTTGTTCAGCATATCTCATATATCAATTTTGTAAATTATCGTAATATTTAATTTTATGTGCTTTCTGCGTATCCGGTTAGATATTTGCTAGGTCATTACCCTACATAAAAGCTCGATAATTTTTTTGATAACCAGAAAGCCCCCTCTAGATAGTAAATCAAGGGCACTAAACCGCTATTTAATATCATGGACTAAATACAATGCAAACCAAAATTTGAGTAGGTGGCTGGACATTAATGTTTTTTTTTTTGGTCAGAGGCTGGACATTAATGTTGAAAAGACAAAATCCAGAGGATTTCAATTCGTATGTCACCAGCTTTGTTCTTATTCACAGTGTCTTATTTGCTTAAACGAGAGAAAACTGACGTGTGCGATGACAGCATTTGGAACAAGTTGGTTCACACATTCCTTAATCACCTCCTTCACCTTCACCAGATCGATTGTTTTCCATGGCTTCCCTTTAAAAGCCAACCATACAAAGCTCCTGTATAATTTCACTCCCTCATGCAGAAAGCACAAACCCCTCATTTATAGATTACACAATCTTCTTCTTTTTTCATTCAGGGTATGTGATCCAAACCTTTTTTTTTTCCACAGGAAATGATCTGAAGTTACAATCTATATTTTCGGCTTTAAACATGAAGCATCTTAACGTTTTCAGGTCTTCTCCCTCTTGGAATATGCCTTGAACTGGAGAATCATATATGATGTTCCGCGGTTCAGTTCTTCACTAACGCTTTGCGGTTATTCTCTCTCGAAGCAGATTTTGTGCGTGAGAAAAGAGGGGTTCTCTATTTCATTTATTCAGGAGCTGAATTTCGAGGGTTCAGCTCTATCTGCTGAGGTTAATAGCAATGGCGGTGGAAGAACACAAGGAGGCGTTGTTGCAAAGGCATTACTATGAGAATTGCCCCGGCTGCAAAGTCGAGAAGCTTAAGGAATCGCGGAGAGGCTTGCCGATCCGCGAGCTCGTGTCAATCTGGATTGTTGTGCTCTGCAACGGTAATGGGCATGTATAGCCCTATTGTTGTGCATAAGCTTTCTGTCAACTTTTGGATTTTTTTTTTCTGGGCTCACTAAACTTACCGAGTGACTGGACATAAGGACAACGCGAATTTACATGATATTTCGGAGTTAATTTGTTTGGAATAATTCAGTTGTTGATCTGAAGTTAAGCCGATAAACCCGGATGTATTATATCTCTGGCAGTATTAGTCCACTTAGCTGATTGTAAAATTTCATATAGCAACGATTAAATTAGTTCAGTAATCAGAAGCTATTTGCCAATTGGAAAAGATGTACTAACAAGATGTACTCGTAGTCACATAAATAATAGCTAGTTAGACTTATGATGTTACTGACCTGTGTTTGTCCTTTCTCTTTCCAGCACTGCCAATATCATCTCTATTCCCATTCCTTTATTTCATGGTAAGTTCTTACATTTTTATACTGGAGTTTTAAGTGTGATGTGTATATAATCGTTCTGTCTACACGAGATATTGTGTCCTGAACTGTATGGTTTGGGCTCCGTTTTCTCTAAAGGCTCCAGATTGTTATTCTTGGTCAATTAGTCCTGAAAATTTTTGCATTTGTTGCAAATGAAACGAGTATGAGCGAAGTGAACATATTTTTATCTGACTTTGAAGTGTTAGATTAGCCGTTGGCATGCAGTCGCGTAGGATGGTTAAACTCGATTAAAAGTCCCTCTACTTTCCTTGGTAGATAATTGTGTAAATGACTTGAAACATATGATTTAGCCTCTTCTACTCAATAAATCTCCGTTTGTTTGTTGAATTTCGAATGGCAGGTTAGAGATTTCCATATCGCCACAAGAGAGGAAGACATCGGGTATTATGCCGGTTGTGTAGGTGAGATTAGCCTGTTGCTTATCTCTGCTCATTGCAGACTCCCTGGTTTGATTTTGACTAGACCTTTCTCTGACAAACTCCTTGAAAACTGGAAGGTTGTTCATTCCTATTCGGTAGAGCCTTAACATCGATTTTTTGGGGAATTGTGGCGGATCGTTACGGGCGAAAACCAGTCATAATTATGGGAACAATCGTTGTGTTAGTACAAGATCACCATTCATTTTCAGTTTCCAAGTGACAAAAAATTTCTCGAATGGTTACAATCAATTAAATGTCATGATTCGATTTATATCAGGGTTATCTTCAACACTCTCTTCGGCCTAAGTGTGAACTTTTGGATGGCCATTGCTACGAGGTTTCTTCTAGGAAGTTTAAATGGTTTACTCGGACCGATCAAGGTAAGATCTTGTACCGCTTATGAATTTTGGGAGTCGTTGTGGCACAAGTTATTTTGAGCCTCAAATAAGCTATCCCTCCTATTTTGTTCCATGAATTTGCTATCATTCTGATATATCTATTTTATAATTTCATAATAGGCTTATGCGAGCGAAATATTCCGTGAGGAGTACCAAGCGCTAGGAGTATCGACTGTAAGATATCTGACCTTTGTCAAAACCTTTGAGCTCTCAATACAGATTCCTAGTTTTTTTCTGCCAAGTACATGAAGCTAAGAGTTACTCTTTGGACTCAGGTTAGTACAGCATGGGGGATAGGATTGATTATCGGTCCAGCTCTGGGAGGTTATCTTGCCCAGGTACTTCTGATTTACCAAATCTCGACGCATAAATTGAGTATTCCAAAACTGATGATAATTCGGACACACTTGCAGCGATTGCTTCCCTCATTTTCATGCTTCTCTGATGTTCCTGGTTGTTCTATTTTTTCTTTCACTTCAGCCCGCAGAAAAGTACCCCTCGATATTTTCCAAAGAATCAGTGTTCGGAAAGTGAGTGAAGTTGCTTTCTTCTAAATTAATATTGCAGATCCTATCAAGTGATCATCCACACGAGCTTTAACCATTTGATTTCTTGGTTTGGATGCAGATTTCCCTACTTCTTGCCCTGTCTCACCATCTCACTTTTTGCATTGGTAGTTTCTATCGGATCCTGCTGGCTTCCGGTATGCACTTCGCTAAACTCAGTTCATGTTTCTCATTCTTGATATTGAAAATATTTGGTTTTTGTCCTTTCATCAGACATTATCTCTGCATGACTTTATATTTGAAAGGTTTGGCAACTGCTTGTTGCGCTCTATTGTCTGGTTTTATTGCAGGAAACATTGCATATGCACCACGGATATTGCGAGCATGATGAGTCTAGAAAAGATGTGGAGACCGTATCCCTCGAGTCTGGTGTGAAATGCAAGACACAAAAGGTCGAAACAGAAGCTCCGAAAAGGTCTCTGATTCGTAATTGGCCCTTGATGTCGGCCATCCTGGCGTACTGCGTCTTCTCGCTTCATGACATGGCTTACTCAGAGGTAACGTAAAATAGAACGCACATCTCTACCACACCTTCTCAGTTCCTCTTCATTCACCGTATTCTAATACCATAAGTTCTTCTTCATTCACCTTCTCAGTTGTTTTATTGTTGACCAACACAAACTTGTAATCTGCAATGCAGTAGGCAGAAGATATTCCTTTGGCAAGTCATGATTTAATGGTTGTCGCGAAAATATTATTTTGACTTGTTCTTTGGAATTCTATCCTAGTTCGAAGTAGTTCATAATATGGCATCAGCATATCATGCTGGTTTCCAAAATAAGTTCATTTTGTCTTTGATTTCGATCCTCTCATTAGCCTTTCCATGCTATTTTCTCTTTGTAGATCTTCTCGCTTTGGGCCGTAAGCCCTAGGCGATTAGGGGGTTTAAGCTACACGACTGAAGATGTTGGAACTGTTCTTTCCATCTCAGGTATATGCTCCAGTTTTCCTTATATGTCAAGATAAATCGTTCAGGAAAACAACAAGGTAGTCTCTAAAACTGCAATTCAAATGAAACTTCGAGATGTGGCAGTTCCTATTGTTGATATGAGTTCTGCCTATTCGAAACTTAGAAGTATGGTGGTCTATTATCATTGAGCGTATCTCTGTACTTGTTGAATATATTTGCCGGGATTGCTGATTGCCGAATTCTACTACCAGGTGCCGGCCTTCTCGTCTTCCAAACATGTTTATACCCATACTTGGACAGACTTCTTGGCCCCATTTTGGTAGCTCGCATTTGTGGGGTATGTTTTCGACATCTAATAACTAGAACTCGAGCATGTACTTGTGGAAAACATTTTTTCTCGCTGCTATTCATGGTCTATCTGATAAAAAGAAGAATAATCCCCCGCGTTTGCTTCGCACAAATTCGTGAATGCAGGTCTTGTCGATACCACTCTTGTCAAGCTACCCTTTTATAGCCATGCTGACCGGGCTAAGTCTCTCCATAGTGTTGAATTGCGCATCAGTTGCGAAAAATGTCCTTTCTGTGAGTATGCCTTACACTCTATGCTAATATATGAAGCTAATATGCACAAAAAACATTCGCATTACTTTTTCTGTATGGAAAAGAGAAAAGGCAAAATCTCTGTTCATACCTAATTCTAACTATCGAATTTTGCATGTCGAAGCTTTCCGTCTTCACCGGCTTGTTCCTTCTGCAAAACAAAGCCGTTGTAAGTTTCTAATGATCATCTTTGACGTGTCTGATCTTTATTAACATCCTCGAATACAGACCTCTCTCATGAAGGTTTGGCTTAAGTTCGAATCTGAAATCGCAGGATCAAGATCAGAGAGGGGCTGCTAATGGAATCGCAATGACCGCCATGTCTCTCTTCAAGGCGGCCGGTCCAGCTGGAGGAGGCGCAATGTGAGTTCCACTTAATTTTTGTTCGATTTCATTATATCACTACGACGGGACAATTAGCAGTAGATAATATTAAACTCGTTAATGCAAACAAACAATTACTCTGCATGCTTAAAGGGTAGACTTGATTAATGTTCTCATCCATGGACAAAATCTTTCGCAGATTCTCTTGGACACAGAAGCGTCAGGACGCGGCCTTTCTCCCAGGTAAACTGAACATTTCCAATTCCAAGATGACAGCTCTGGCCTTCTTTGTATACCCATGACTAATACATCTGCTGTCATCTGCCAAAAGAAAATTTGTTGACATGAAGATGTGTATATGCACCCATTCATGATGTACAAGGATGAGATATAAGTCTATGGGATCTTGATAGACCGCACTTGAGCTCCTAGCTGACTAAGGAACTTTAACGATCCTGTGCCTATGTGCAGGCAACCAGATGATCTTCTTCATCTTGAATGTGGTCGTGGCAATCGGGGTGCTGATGACTTTCAAGCCGTTCCTTGTCCAGCGCCGTGATTAAATGAAAGCAGAGTTGAACCCGCATGGATTCTAAGTATAGGGCTGCAAAAACTAAAGCAGGGCTTGCAAAACATTAGCTGCCATTGGATTCTTTCACAAGCTGAGTCCGGCCTGAAACTTGTTCGCAAGCTCATCCAAATGGAAGAGTTGGACAGGTCCATCCATCTCGGCATGGGTCTAGGGGTGTGTCAGGCTCTCCAGATCCTAAGCACAATTTGAGTAGCTTAGGGAAGTAATTCCATCATTAGCCCAATCATCATATGAAGAGTATATTACATATCTTACGTCGTGGTCGAACCTATATACAAAAGTTTGGGTTCGCTATATCAACGTTGACTGCCTGTTGATCAAGTCTAGTCCATTGTTCAGTTACTTAATTTTAGAGGTACCCCTCACTGTCACTATATTTTCATGAAATCCAGGTTAAAGTCTCGAGAATCGCTTGCAAGATCGATTTGAATGGGCCTATTCCCATCTTTTTGGGCTACAAGGCCCATATTATACCATCAAAGCAGCCATTCAACAATAGACAAGTCCATGCATTGCTTATATCAAGTGACATATTGACATTGCACGAAGAATTATTTGATGAATTGTGTCCATTATAGTTTTCAAGCATTTCGTTTATAAATTTAATAAAATTATATGCCCGAGAAATGTCACATGAAAATGTCATGCGATATAACTCTCACATAAGATACTCTTCCATTCAGGTAAACTACTGAAGCGTATACTAGGAACTCTTTGAAAGAAACCCATCCAAAGTTAATCATTTTGCGAATGAAAGCCGTGATCGTGTTATCATAAAAAGAAAAAATATGTTTCATTTTTAGTTTTCCTTGAATGTATGAATCAATCTCACTATTGCAGTATACTTGTGTTGTAGTGTACTTTGTTGCTATTAATAGACAATAGCAACGTTATGCATATTACCAATCACAATCCTTATGGTCCGATTGTTTCATTATGCCCCGCTCCCTCCCCTCCCTAAATATACAATTATGTATACAAAGGTTATATTTTTCTTCACTCCTGATTCGGGAAAATTTCCTTAAACTATTTCTATATTGGAAATTGTCCAATCAGTCCATAACCTGTTGCATACATGCCAATTCAATCTTAAAAGTTTTAATTTTGCCAATTTAATCCTAAATCTTTGCACAAAATTCCAATTCAGTCTTTCCGATCAATTTTTACCGAAAATTACTAACATGGTAGTGTGCCATGTAGAATCACCGTCGATAATTGAACTACCACATTAGCGATTTTGAACGAAACTTGATTAGAAGGACTACATTGAAATTTTACGTAAGTGTTTAAGACTAAATTAAAAATATTTAGGACTATATTAATATCCATACAATAGGTTTAGAACTTGATGGTGTTATTTTCCCCTATATCATGCGAGTTACAAGTTGCGGACATCACACATGTCCAACTTAATTTTGATAATAATTGCAGTGGACCTTCTCGTGACAAACTTGTTGTTCTTGGATTCTTCGGGAATATTTGGCCCCGACCAATCCTGGTTGTTGAATTATTTGGATCTCATGTAAAATACATGTGATCCAACGAAATGACCGATGTTTGTTGGATTGATGTGCACTCAAATCTTCCAACTATTGCTTTTATATTGTGGGCTCTGCAAGTGTCCTAACAACACGAGCCCCCTAATAGGATTCCAACCTCTTCTCCTTAGTTACTATTCCAAAATGGATTTTTGTCTCCGGCCACAACAAAACTTCATCTGGAGTGGAAATTTTATCACCAAAGCTCTTGTTCTTGACCATTCTGGCTAAGATCAAGACGACAATTTAATCTCTTTCAACCCTTTCTAACCGAATTTTATACTATTTTTACTTAAAAATTGCCGCAGGAATTGTTGTTTTGGTACTAAAAAACTCTTTCAAAATAGTCAAGGTCGTGTCCTCCGAATGTGACCAGAGTTTTCAATCATGTATTGTTGCCACAATGACGTTGGAACCCTTCATTGGTCCTTTTTCCTGTGATTGTACGACGTCAAAAACGACAGATGAAGTGACTTGTGATGGCACATACATTAATTCAAGCGAAGGGCACTAGATCGCATCTATCTATCCCCGTATATAATTCCAAAAGGACCATATTTCATAACTTTTTTCTTTCCAAGTTTCTGTCGTTTAGGGAATGAATGTCTGCGACCTCGTACTAGTCATGTCTGTGCTGACCTTTTGCCCTTGTTCATTATAATTCTCTCATGTTGCTGGTGGTATTTTAAAATTCATTAGTACCACAAAAAATTCATAATTTCATCTAGACTTATCACGTCAACATATAACATCACCATATGTCATTCACATTAACAAAATTAACGATAAAATATGACGAAAACTAACTAAAGATAAGTTTATCACAAATATACTAATTTAAAATTTTTTTAATCAAAAAATTAGTTTGTGGTATATTTATCACATATATACAAGTTTAGGATTTTTATGATTAATAAATTTGTCATAAGTGTACCGATTTGATGTTTTTCGTGATTAAAATATTATTTTGAATAAATTTATCACAGGTGTTTTTGGGGATCTTCATGGTATTAACCCTTTAAAGATTGTTATTTTATAGGTTGTCAACAAAAATTTTTATCTATGGGCCACGAAAGTGTGCAAAAGAATCGGGAACAGCCCAGACCATCCATAACCAGACCGAACCGGTGGTTCTCATGGGGACCGATCCAATTCCCAATTTCAATTTACTAGAATCGGTGAGTATTGATCTAGTTCCCGATTTCAAGTACGGTACCACCCACCCGGACCAAACCAATACATATATATCTAAAAAAATTTATGTTTTCAAATGAAAATCTTAGTTTCCTACCCGTTTCTCTCTGTCTCTCGCCTCACTCATCACAGTTGCTTCGCAGGCCACTTAAAAACCTATCAAATATGTCTTCTTTGTCAACTCTCCTCCTTCGTTCTAAATCCCTTGTAGTTCCTCCGTCTTGCTTCTTCCTCTCCTTGTCGATTCTCTAGAAACCACCATTCATCTTGAATCTCCATCTCAAACCTCGACCCTCCCATACGGTGACGCGCGCCAAACACGAAGCCGGCACAAGGAGCTCTCTTGGATGCCCCGACCCTAATCCAGTCAACCCCTCCCTCGTGGAAGTCCGCCGTCTTTAGTAACCTCCTGATCTTTGTCGTCGGCCTCTCCGTGTCCGACATCGGAGCGGCTTTCCTCTTGGGGACTCTCACCTAGCGTGCCTTTGGTCCCTCGGGGTTTCTCCTTGTCGTTGCCTACTTCATCATCATAAGTCAAAACTCTCAAAATCGTACAATTGACTTTGTTGCTTATAACTTTTGCATTCTAGTGCGATAGAAAATTTCTCCCTTCGTGGAGATTTATCTCCATTTGGTAAGAGACTTTGATTTGCAGCATCGTAATCAATAATGAGTATGTTCGTGCTCATTACCTCTCCGTCTCTCGCCTTGTAGCTCCTCCCATTTTTTAGTTCTTATGTAAGCACAACATGGTTTCTTTCATCCTAAATGGAATTAGGGATGCATATTCCGTATCGTCCTTTGAAGACATCTTTTTATGTTCACTTGTGTAGAATGTCATGATTTTGTTGGAGACATTTAGACCAGTTCCCGATTCCAATTTTTCGGAACCAGTCCTTAGTAGAGGGTTCCCGATTTCAGGGTGGGCGGTTTTCACCCCGGAACCAATCACCCCTATGGACCACCATTAATGTAAAATTTATTTTACTCGAATTACACTAACATCAAAACTAGTTTTCATATGCCAATTGTAAACCTGTTTTCTCAAAAATCACTATTCAAGATAGGTCAATTTTATTTGAAATATTATGTCGAGCATTGTCCTTCGTCAAGGTACTTATATTTCGAATAAGAAAAAAAATTCAAAAATTAATGTATTAAATATTTTCGTAAAATAGATTATCAACCTATTTGAATAACCCATTTCTTTATAAAATTTGAGAATTTTATTTACCGTTTCCTTTTTCCAGATTTTGGACCGATCCCTATTATTTTGATTGCAAATGATCATGTCTCCCACAATTAGCAAAAAATATATGGGCAAACAATGGGAAAATTACCAAAAAAGTCCTCAACCTATTGTATTTGTGCCAATTCAGTCCTAAACCTTTCAATTTGGCCAATTCAGTCCTAAACCTTTTGCAAACCAACCAATTCAGTCCTTTTGGCCGGCCGGCGCTGACGTGGCCGCCGGGGCGCTGGCCGGCGTTCACGTGGTAATATTTTAATTTTTTTTTATTATTTTCTTTTTTTTTCTTTCTTTTTTTTTTCTTTTCCTTCTCCCCTTGGCCTGTCTCGCCAGGGGGGAGGCTCGCCGGCTAGGGCCCAGCTCCGGCGAGGCGAGCTGGGCCCTCGTCGCCGCTGGGCGAGGGCGGAGCTCGCCTAGCCAAGGCGAGCTCCGCCTCGCCGGAGCTAGGCGAGGCTCGCCCGACCATGGCGAGCCGGGCCCTCGCCGCCGGGCGAGCCTCGCCCGGCCCGGCGAGGCGGAGCTCGCCTCGCCATGGCGAGCTCCGCCTCGCCGGATCTGGGCGAGGCGGAGCTCGCCCGGCCATGGCAAGCCGGGCGAGCGGCGAGGGCCCGGCTCGCCATGGATGGGCGAGCTCCGCCTCGCCCGGATCTCGGCGAGGCGGAGCTCGCCATGGGCCGGGCGACCTCCGCCCTCGCCCGAGCTGGGCGAGGCGGAGCTCGCCATGGCTTGGCAAGCTCCGCCTCGCCAGATTTGGGCGAGGCGGAGCTCGCCTTGGCTGAGTGAGCTCCGCCCTCGCCCAGATCTGGCGAGGCAGAGCTCGCCATGGCTGGGCGAGCTCGCCCAGCTCCGGCGAGGCAGAGCTTGCCTTGGCTGGGCGAGCTCCGCCCTCGCCCAGCGGCGGCGAGGGCCCAGCTCGCCTTGCCGGAGCTGGGCCCTCGCCGGCAAGCCTCCCCCCTGGCCGGACAGGCCAGGGGGAGAAGGAAAAGAAAAAAAAAAAGAAAAAAATTCGAAAATAATAATAAAAAAATATTAAAAATATTGCCACGTAGACGCCGGCCGGCGCCACGTCAGCCGACCGGCGGCCACGTCAGTGCCGGCCGGCCAAAAGGACTGAATTGGCTGGTTTGTAAAAGATTTAGGATTGAATTGGCCAAATTGAAAAGTTTATGACTGAATTGGCACAAATACAATAGGTTGAAGACTTTTTTTGTAATTTTCCCGGCAAACAATTAGTGTTATTTGCACCTAGTCCATCAATAAAGCAGTCCTCATCATCATTTCTTAGTTTCCTTTTTGTCATACCTGCGTTACTTTATATTATTTCAATATTCAGATTGACGACGGCCGAGTATCTCCCATCTTGTCGTTGAATGCTTATTTCAATACGGGACTTCGTTTAGCATCTATTAATATGTGGACCTTATCAATTTGTATATCAATGTTGTAAATTATCGTAACATTTAATTTTATGTGCTTTCTGTGTATATGGTTAGATGATTTTATTAAGTCATTTACCACAAATAATAATTTACTATCTAAGGCTCGATAATTTTCTTATAGGCAGAAGGTCCCCTTTACAATCTAGATAGTAAATCGAGGGCACTAAACCGCTAGTTAATGTCATGGACCAAATAAAATGCAAATCATAAGTTGAGTAGGTAGCTGGACATAAGCAAAATCCAGAAGATTTCAATTCATATGCACCAGTTTTGTTCTTACTCATTTTGTCACATTTCCTTAAACGAGAGAAATATGACGTGTGGAATGACGACATTTGGACATTTCCTATATCACCTCCTTCACCAGATTCATTGTTTTCCATGGCTTCCTTTTAAAGGCCTGCCATATAAAGCTCCTGCATAATTTCTCTCCCACATGCCAGAAAAAAAAAAAAGCCCTCAATCATAGAATACAAAATCTTCTTCTTTTTCTCATTCAGGGTATGTGATTCAAACCTTTTCTTCTACATGAAATGATCTGAAGTTACGATCTATACCTTCATCTTTAAACGTGAAACATCTTAACGTTTTCACGTCTTCTCACTCTTGGAATATTCCTTGAACTGGAGAATCACATATGACGTTACGTGGTACTGTTCTTCACTAACGCTTAGTGATTATTCTCTCTCGAAGCAGATTTTCCGCGTGAGAAAAGAAGGGTTCTCTATTTCATTTGCTCAGGAGCTGAATTTCGGGGGTTCAGCTCTCTCTGTTGAGGTTAATAGCAATGGCGGTGGAAGAACAAAAGGAGGCGCTGTTGCAGAAGCATTACTATGAGAATTGCCCCGGCTGCAAAGTCGAGAAGCTTAAGGAATCGCGGAGAGGCTTTCCGATCCGCGAGCTTGTGTCGATCTGGATCGTTGTGCTTTGCAGCGGTAATGAGCATGTATAGCACTACTGCTGTTCACAAGTTTTATGGGGAAAATGACATTAGAAGTGCCAAAAGACTCGTGTGACGCTCACTTTAGTACCAAAAGTTTGCGTCGATTCTCACTTAAGTGCAAAATCGGAGAAAAATGATCATTTAAGTGCATCGGGCGACAAATTCTAGCCAAAAGTCATACATGGCTTATATTTGGGGCGAAACATGCAGATGTCATCGTTTAAGGGTGTATATGCTAATTAGGCACACAGGCAAGTCACACCAATCAGGAAAATTAATAAAATATCACCACGTCTGATTCTGGCAACCCAATCGGAGTTGTCACTTAACTAATCGTTTTTTTTAAAAAGTGGCACTAAAGTGATTGGACAAAAACTTTTGGCACCACCTTACGAAACTTTTGGCATTTCCAGTATCGTTTTCCCAAGCTTTTTGGCAACTTTTGGATTTTTTTTCCACGGTTCTTTGAACTTACTGAGTGACTGGACATAAGGATGATGCGAATTTACATGATATTTCAGAGTTTATTTGTTTGGCATAATTCAGAGGTTGATGTGAAGTTAAGCCGATGTCGATATTGCATAGTGATGGAGAGTGCAAACCCAGATGTATTATTTATCTTGCAGTTCTACTTCACTCAGCTGATTGTAAAATTGAATACAGCTATGACGTTAATTCGCTCAGTAATCAGAAGTTATTTGCCAAATTGAAAAGATGTTACTAACTAGATGTACTTTTTTTTTTTGGATGTACTTGTAGTCACATAATTAATAGCTAATTAGACTTGTGATGTTACTGACCAGTGTCTTGTCCTTTCTCTTTCCAGCGCTGCCAATAGCATCTCTATTCCCATTCCTTTACTTCATGGTAAGTTCTTTCATTTTATACTTGAGTTTTAAGTATGATGTGTACATAACTGTTCCGTCTTCACTAGATATATTGTGTCCTAAACTGTATGGTTCAGGCTCTGTTTTCTCCAATATCGTCTCTCTAGGCTCCAGATTGTTATTCTTGGTCAATTAGTCCTGAAATTTTTTGCATTTGTTGCAAATGAAACAAGTATGAGCTGAGTGGACATTGTTTTATCTGACTTTGAAGCATCAGAATTAGCCGTTGGCATGCAGTCGCGTAGGATGGTTAAACTCGATTATATGTCCCGCTACTTTCCTCGGTAGATAATTGTGTAAATGACTTGAAGCATATGATTTAGCCTCTTCTACTCAAGAAATCTTCGTTTGTTTGATGAATTTCGAATGGCAGATTAGAGATTTCCATATCGCCACAAGAGAGGAAGACATCGGATATTATGCCGGTTGTGTAGGTGAGATTATCCTGTTGCTTATCTCTGTTCATTGCAGACTCCCTGGTTTGATTTTCACTATACCTTTCACTAACAAACTCCTTGAAATCTGGAAGGTTGTTCATTCCTGTTCGGTAGAGGCTTGACGTCGATTTTCTGGGGAATTGTGGCGGATCGCTATGGGCGAAAACCAGTCATAATTATGGGAACAATTGTTGTGTTAGTACGAAATCACCATTCATTTTCAGTTTCCAGTGACAGAAATTTTCTCAGACTATTATGATCAATTAATTGTTATGATTCGATTTATATCAGGGTTATCTTCAACACTCTCTTCGGCCTAAGTGTGAACTTTTGGATGGCCATTGCTACGAGGTTTCTTCTAGGAAGTTTAAATGGTTTACTTGTTCCGATCAAGGTAAGATCTCGTGCCGCTTATGAACTTCGGGATTCATAGAGGCACAAGTTATTTTGAGCCTCAAATAAGCTATCGCTTCTTATTTTGTTCCACAAATTTGCAATCATTCTGATATATGTATTTCGTAATTTCGTAACAGGCTTATGCAAGTGAAATCTTCCGTGAGGAGTACCAAGCACTAGGAGTATCAACCGTAAGATGCCTGACCATTGTTAAAACCTTTGAGCTCTCAATACAGATTCCTAGTTTTTTTCTGCCAAGTACATAAAGCTAAGAGTTACTCTTTGGACTCAGGTTAGTACAGCATGGGGGATAGGATTGATTATCGGTCCAGCTTTGGGAGGTTATCTTGCCCAGGTACTTCTGATTTATCACACCTCGACGCATAAATTGAGTATTCCAAAAGCGATTACAATTTGGACAAACTTGCGGCGATTGCTTCTCTCATTTTCAAGCTCCTCTGACGTTCCTGGTTGTTCTATTTTTGTTTTTTCACTTCAGCCAGCCGAAAAGTTCCCATCGATATTTTCCAAAGAATCAGTGTTCGGAAGGTGAGTGGAGGTTGCTTTCTTCTAGATTAATATTGCAGATCCATTTAGGTGATCATCGACATGAGCGGTAACATTTGATTTCCTGATTTCAATGCAGATTTCCTTACTTCCTGCCCTGTCTCATCATCTCATTTTTGGCATTGGTTGTTTGTGTCGCGTCCTGCTGGCTTCCCGTATGCACTTCACTAAACTCAGTTCATGTTTCTCAATCTTGACATTGGAAATATTATATTTATTTTCCATTCTTCAAACGTTACCTCTACTTCACTTTATCTATGAAAGGATTAGCAACTGCTTGTTGCCCTTTGTGAGTGCCCGAAAATCTGGTTTATTTGCAGGAAACATTGCATATGCACCAAGCAAACAGTGAGCTTGATGAGTCCCGCAAAGATGTGGAGACCACATCCCTCGAGTCCGGTGTGAAATGCAAGATGCAAAAAGTCGAAGGGAAAGCTCCGAAAAGGTCTCTGATTCGTAATTGGCCCTTGATGTCAGCCATCATGGCGTACTGCGTCTTCTCGCTTCACGACACGGCTTATGCGGAGGTAACGTAAAATAGCACGCACTGCTCTCCGCACCTTCTCAGTTCTTCTTCATTCACCGTATTCTAATATCAAGAGTGCAATGATTTCAGTACTCATGGTGCCGAGTGCTTCATTAACAGTTGCTTGAAGAGCAGAAATTCTTTTATTGTTGATGAACACGAACTTGTAATCTGCAATGGAGTAGGCAGAGGACATTCCTTTGGCTAGTCATGATATAATGGTTGTCGCGACAAATTTATGTTGACTTGTTCTTTGGAATTCTATCCTAGTTCGAAGTAGTTCATAAAATGGCATCAGCATATCATACCGGTTTCCAAAATAAGTGCATTTGGTCTTTGATTTCGATCCTCTCATCAGACTTTGCGTGCTATTTTCTCTTTGTAGATCTTCTCGCTATGGGCCGTCAGCCCTAGGCAATTAGGGGGTTTAAGTTACACGACTGAAGATGTCGGAACTGTTCTTTCCATCTCAGGTATATACTCAGTTTCTTCTTTATATGTCAAGATAAATCTGTTCCAGAAAACAATAAGGTAGTCACTAAAACTGCAATTCAAACAAAACTTCAAGATGTGGCGGTCTGTAGTGTTGATATGAGTTCTGCCTACTCAAAACTTAGAAGTATGGTGGTCTATTATGATCGAAAGTATCTCGGTACTCGTTCAATATATTTGCTGGGGATCGCTGATAGCCGAATTATATTGCCAGGTGCCGGCCTTCTCGTCTTCCAAACGTGTTTATACCCATACTTGGACAGACTTCTCGGACCCATTTTGGTAGCTCGCATTTGTGGGGTGTGTTTTCGATATCTCATAACTTGAACTTGAGCACGTGCTTGTGAAAATCATTTTTGCTCGGTGCTATTCATGGTCTATCTAATAAAAGGACAATAATACCTTGTGCTTCCTCTGCACAAATGTGTGAATGCAGGTCTTAGAGATACCGCTCTTGTCATGCTACCCTTTTATAGCCATGCTGACTGGGCAAAGTCTCTCCATAGTGTTGAATTGCGCATCAATCGCAGAGAATGTTCTATCTGTGAGTATGCCTAACACTCCGAGCTATGAAGCTAAGATGCCCGGAATGATTCGCATTACTTTTTCTGTATGGAAAAGAGAAAAAGCAAAATCTCTGTTCATACCTAACTCTTAACTGTCGAATTTTGCATGTCGAAAGCTTTCTGTCTTCACCAGCTTGTTCCTTCTGCAAAACACAGCCGTTGTAAGCTTCTAATGATCATCTTCGACATGACGGATCTTTATTAACATCCTCGATTCATACATTTCTCGTGAAGGTTTGGCTTATGTCTAAATCTGAAATCGCAGGATCAAGATCAGAGAGGTGCTGCTAATGGAATTGCATTGACCGCCATGTCTCTCTTCAGGGCTGCTGGTCCAGCTGGAGGAGGCGCAATGTGAGTTTTGCTTGATTTTTGTTGGTTTTCATTATATTGCTACGACGGGACAATTAGCAGTCGATAATATTAAACTCATTATTGAAAATTAAACAATTACTCTGCATGCTTAAACGGTAGACTTGATTAATGTTCTCATCCATGGACAAAATCTATTGCAGATTCTCTTGGTCACAAAAGCGTCTGGACGCGGCCTTTCTCCCAGGTAAACCAAACTTTTCCAATTCTGAGATGACGGCTCTGGCCTTCTTTGTATGACCATGACTAACTCATTTGTTTTTTTTTTTTTTTTTTGGTAAGAACTAACTCATCTGTTGTCATCTGCTAAAAGTAAAGGTGTTTACATGAAGATGATTCATGATGTACAATGATGAGAAATAACTCTATGTGACCGTGATAGATCGCGCTTGAACTCTCAACTGACTGAGGAACTTTAACGACTCGTGCTTTTGTGCAGGCAACCAGATGATCTTCTTCATCTTGAGTGTGGTCGTGGCAATCGGGGTGCTGATGACGTTCAAGCCGTTCCTTGTCCAGCGCCGTAACTAAAATAAAGTAGAATTGAACCCGCATGAATTCTAAAGTATAGCGCTGCCAAAATTTAGAGCAGAGCTTGCAAAATATCTGCTACCATTCGATTCTTTCACAAGCCAAGTCGGGCCTAAAATTTGCTCTCAAGCTTATCTAAACGGAAGAGTTGGACAGGTCCATCAATCTTAGAATCGTTAACTTATCTACCATAGACCTAATCACGAGTCTAAGGGTGTGTTAAGCCCTCCAAATCGAAGCGCAATTTGAGCGGCTTAGAAAAGTAATTCCTTCTTTGGCCCGATCATCATATGAAGAGTATATTACATATTTTACATCATGGGCTAGCCTAAATACAAAAGTTTAGTTTTTATATATCAATACCACCAACCTGTTGATCAAGTCTAACCTGTTGTTCTATAACTCAAATTTGAGAGACACCACTTTACTCTCGCCACCTTTTCATGAAGTGCGGGCCAAAGCCTCGAGAATTGCTAGCAAGATTGATGTGGATAGGCTCATTTCCGTCTTTTGGGACCATGAGGCCCCTGTTATACCATCAAAGCAGCCATTCACCCATAGATAAATCCATGCATTGCTTATAGCATGATATTTGGGGTGACACAAAAAATTATTGGACGAGTTGTTCCATTATAGCTTTCAAGCGTCTTGTATATTAATTTAACATAATTATATGAAATCAAGAAATGCTACATCGAAACGTCAATTGATACGACTGTCACATAAGATAATCTTCTATTTAGGATAATTACAGAATCGCATTATCAGAGCTCTTAACAACTCACTTGAAAGAATCACATCCATAATCAATCATTTTGAGGATGGCCGCAGCGATTGTATATTCATTCTTATATTTACAAAGAAAAAAAAAATCATATACGTTTCTTTCTTAGTTTCCCTTTCAATGTGTGAATCAATCTCTCTAATGCAAGATGCTAGTGTTGTACTCCACCTTGTCGCTATTAATAGACAATAGCAACGTTATGCGTGTTTCCAATCACATTCCTTGTTTGCCCAATTGTTTCTTTGCCCCCCACCAAAAGAAGAAGAAGAAAGAGCCGGCCCGTTATGATCGCCTATAAAAAAAAAATAGAGTTGTCTTCATCCCTGATTCGAAGAAATGATGCCTATGATATGTCATGCGGGTTATAAGTTGTGGGACATTGATGCACAAAAAACTTAACCTTCATAATATTGCACCTCTTATCACAAACTCCATCGTGCACAAATTGGTGCCTTATGTGTTGTGGCTTTCGAAAGCGACGATACCATGCATTATTAATTGAGAAAAACTTTTGGGTTCTTCTGAAGCACATTAACCTATCAAATCTTAGCCGGTGAATCATGTAGACCACAAGTAAGAGCCACATGATTTAATAGAGGGTATTCGTTGAATTGATGCGTACCTCGAATTGTGCAGGTGATGCACATGTATTGCAAGCCTCAGTCGTCTCCAAACAACATGAGCCTCATTTGACCCCAACCTCTTCTCTTTAGTTGCTATCATGAAATGGATTTCTGTGTCGAACCATAACAAAAGTTCATATGTGGTCACGACGCGCGTCGATACAGATGATAAAAGAGAAACGTGAAATTCGATTCGCTCCCATGACCTAGAATCGCTGCGGAACTACTTGTTTTGGTACTGAAACTCTTCCAAAAGAAAAAGTCATGGTCGTGTCATCTGACCATGACCCCAGTTCTCGATCTCGTATTGTTGCCACAATGATTTTGGAACCCTTTTCTTGCCGTGATTCCCGGGAAAGTATTGTTGTCGGCTAAGTTCGTATACCAGAAATTGAAATCAAACGTCAAGAAACTAACCTGAAAGCAGTACAAATAAATAAACAGAATATTGATCCGAGCCCAACGAAGTAACGTCGTGTTCTTAAGACGAATTTGGCCCCTCAATCAGTACCCGAAGATATTGGACAATCGTCTCCCAGGATAGAACGGATCTCGTTCCTCCGAAGTGGTACGTATTCAGAGGACTCCTTTGAACGCAACTTCGCAGAATAATCGCACAAAATGACAATGATGAAGTGAAAATTGTCTAGAGTGTGTCGGGTAAAATAAATGCCACGAAGTGTCACTGTCCGAACTAAACTATTCGGATATATGTATATGGCGAAAATGAAGAGTTGCGAGTAATGAAGACTCGTTTGTGGTTCCCGTTCGATTCGTGAACAGTAGCGAAGGTTCACTCGAACCTCACGAACAGACATGTTCGGCTCGGCACGCGCAGGGGGGGGGGGAACCGACCTAGCTTGGCGTAGGTCCTCTCCCTTCAACAAAAGTAGGATACCCCTTGGGGCCCAAACCTACTTGAGAGGCTTCTCAAAATAAACCATCTCCCATTACCTCTTCTATCCTATGTGGGACATTTTCATTCACACACTTTTCATTCAATTCTATGGGATTTGGATGCCAAAATCCCAACAATCCCCCACATGAATGAGAAGTTTTGATATCATGACTCTTCGCGTATGCATGAGATGCAATGTGTGATTATTCCATGAGAAAACGTTGCATCGGGATAAGTAGTCTGAGACTTTGAACTTTCCTTAGTGAAACCTATCGGACTTACTCGGTCAATCAGTAGACTTGATGTCTTTGAACTATCGACCTTTGGTGTAAGCCTAGACTATAGAAATCACACAATTGTTTCTCGAACAAAATTGGTTCTCACTGTTGTGTTCATTTTGGCCATGAACACCGCCTGGTCTCATGAGTGTTTTAGAGAATTCGGCCTTTTCAATTCTCACAGAAGCGGCCCTCACTTCACACTCATATAGGTGATTTCTAAACATATAGTATATCACATACTCAATTTAGAATCATTAAAAGCTTTTGCTTAATCTTCACATATTAATACTGTCTTCATCTGGGAATGAGTCAAAAATTTGACAGTACTCTACACTGTCTTCATAACTTAGTTGTCCCTTTGAACCTAGATCTTGGGATCTCCAGTCAACTAGGTAGGGTTTCCGCTATGATGACTTGTTTATAGGCCTTAAACCTATTCCCCTTGATGTTTTCGCAACCATCTCTCTAGTTAGGCCTTTTGTCAATAGATCCGCAACATTATTTTTTGACTTCACATAGTCAATGGTGATAATTCCACTAGAAAGAAGTTGTCTTACTGTGTCATGTCTTCGACGTATGTGTCGAGACTTACCGTTATACATGACATTCCTTGCTCTTCCTATTGCCGCTTGACTGTCACAATGTATACAAACAGCGAGCACTGGTTTAGGCTAATTAGGAATATCTTCCAATAAATTTCGAAGCCACTCTGCTTCTTCACCTGCTTTATCCAAAGCAATAAATTCTGATTCCATAATGGATCTAGCTATACAAGTTTGTTTGGATGATTTCTAAGACACTGCCGCCCCACCAAGTGTGAATACATATCCACTTGTCGATTTTGTGTCTTTAGTGCCGGTTATCCAATTTGCATCACAATATCCTTCAAGTACCGCTGGATATTCTGTGTAATGCAAAGCCACTCTACTTCTTCACCGGCTTTATCCAAAGCAATGAATTCTGATTCCATAGTGGATCTAGCTATACAAGTTTGTTTGGATGATTTCTAAGACACTGCCGCCCCACCAAGTGTGAATACATATCCACTTGTCGATTTTGTGTCTTTAGTGCCGGTTATCCAATTTGCATCACAATATCCTTCAAGTACCGCTGGATATTCTGTGTAATGCAAAGCATAATCTTGAGTATGCTTTAAGTAGCCCAATAAACGTTTCATAGCTTTCCAATGATTTTCATTTGGACTAACTGTAAATCGACTTAGCTTGCTCACAGCACAAGTTATGTCCGGCCTAGTACAGTTCATGATATACATTAGACTGCCTAGTATACTAGCATACTCATTTTGAGCTTTGCTTTCACCAGTATTCTTTGAAAGATGTAAATTAACATCTATCGGAGTCTTTACTGGTACAATATCTAGATTCTTGCACTTTCCAAGAATCGTCTCAATAAAATGGGACTGTGATAGAGTTAATCCTCCAGATGTCTTATGGATTTTAACTCCTAATATAACATCTGCAACCCTCATATCTTTCATATCAAATTCACTTGTGAGCATGCATTTGGTCACCTTAACAACCTCACTATCGCTACCCATTATAAGCATGTCGTCTACATATAAGCACAAAATGGCAAAACCATTATGAGTGTTCTTAACATATACACATTTATCACACTCATTAATCTTAAAACCATTCGACAACATGACTTCGTCGAATTTAGCATGCCATTGTTTTGGTGCTTGTTTCAATCCATAGAGTGACTTGATAAGCCAACATACTTTCTTCTCTTGTCCTGGAACAATGAACCCTTCAGGTTGTTCCAAATATATTTCTTCTTCCAAACCCCCATTTAAGAAAGCCGTTTTCACATCCATTTGATGGATTTGAAGCTTATACACCGCTGCTATGGCAATTAGCATCCTTATAGATGTAATTCTAGTAACAAGTGAATAAGTATTAAAATAATCAAGACCTTCTCGTTGCTTGTATCCTTTTACTACAAGCCTAGCCTTATATTTATTAATAGCACCATCCGCTTTCATTTTCCTCTTGAAAATCCACTTACATTGTAGTGGTTTATTACCAGGAGAAAGGTCAACCAATTCCCATGTATGGTTTGACAAGATGGATTCAACTTCACTATGATAGCTTCTTTCCAGAACGGGGCTTCTGGCGATGTCACAGCTTCTTTGAATGTCCGAGGCTCATTCTCTAATAGATACGTTAAGAAATCAGGTCCAAAAGACGTGGAAGTCCTTTGTCTTTTACTACGTCTAGGTTCATCCTCCATTGGATCACTTCTAGATATAGTATCTTGAGGCCTCTTATTATTATCAATTGGCTCATATACTATGTTATACGGAAATATATTTTCAAAGAACGAAGTGTCCCTTGATTCAATGATCGTATTAACATGTATATTTGGGATCTCTGACTTGTGAACAAAAAAATGATATGCATTGCTATTCTGAGCATATCCGATAAAAACACAGTCAACAGTCTTTGGTCCTATCTTAACCTTTTTAGGCTTAAGAACCGCAACCTTAGTCAAACACCCCCACACTTTGAGATAATTCAAGTTAGGCATTCTGCCTTTCCATTTCTCATAGGGAGTTTGTTGTGTCTTTTTGTGGGGTACTCTGTTTAAAATAAAATTTGCTGTTAAGACAGCTTCCCCCCACAAATTCTGCGGTAAACCTGAACTGTTCAACAATGCATTCATTGTTTCCTTTAGGGATCGATTTTTCCTTTCAGCCACACCATTTGATTGTGGTGTATAAGGAGCAGTTATTTGGTGAACGATAC